ATGCTGCAATGCTGATACCTCCCACAGCCACATTTAATTAATACTATAAGAACATACTAAATAATGTCAAGGATATTACTAATATCTAGTCAACATACCAACAGATGATATGCCTACATTGTTTCTGTTTTCCATTTATGTTAAATGAGGAGGCTGATTTCATTTTGAGAGTGCTTTTTAAGATACATCTCATCAGTGGTTTGGATAGACAAGACTGAGTGGCCTGGACAAAAAAAATGCCATATGGTCAATCCAGAATGCCTTCACTCTATAACAGGTAGCGCTACAGAGCCCCCAATCTTGTCTTTTAGGAGGCCTAGACATGCTGATCCTCAATCACGCTGGCAGCACACACTTTGGCTACTTCAAGGGAGACATTGAGCACCTGCGAAAGCTCCTGGAGATTAATGTTCTCAGCTATGTGACCATGACCGTCTCTGCCTTGCCGATGCTGAAGGAGAGCAGGGGCAGCATCGTTGCAGTTTCTTCCTTGGCAGGTAAGCAGCACCCAGGCTAGAGACCCTTAGTGCTAGTCAGTCCAAATCTTTCCTTTGACTTAGACCCTGCTACTGTCTAAAGAAGCTTTGTTTGAAAACACTCTGCAAAAGAGAGGATAAAGGGTCTCCTGAGAAACTAGGTAATGTGACTGGAGCTCTGGATTCACTATGTTGGTTACTGAATGCTAAATACAAGTCTTCCCAATTTATATACTGATTCTCCTTCTGCTGGCACCAATACCCCACCACACTTTCAGGGCAGCTTCCCAGTGGAGAAGCGATGTACTGTCAGGGCATCCATCATTCCCCCTCCCCAGCAAACCTTCCCCTGAAGTGACATGGTCAGGGACAGGCAGCATGCAAAGCCACCTCTTCTCCCCAGGATCTCAGTCAAACACAAATTACTATTTTCTAGAAAACTTCTACCTCGATCATAGCCCAAGGCAGAGGGCGAATTGCTCTGATGCTTCTCCAGCTCCTGCTGACTTGAAGCTTCCCTGTCACAAAAGCCTGCCTAACTAAAACCAAACACCAACCATTTCCTTCCCACAGTGAAAACGCAAAGCAAAGCAAAGCAAAAATAAAATGAAATAAAATTTCCCACAGTGAAAACTCAAAGCAAAGCAAAAATAAAATAAAATAAAATAAAATAAAATATGAACTCCTCACAAACTATCCACTAGCAATGCCTGCCATAAGGAAGACAGGATGTTACTTGTTCGCTGTACATGGTGCACAGGTGCATACTAGTGAGTTTGCATGTGGGACAGCTAGACAGATTTGATTCAAGGTTCACACTAGCCCCAAGTGAGTTCTGCCAATTATACAGAATTTACGCTGAAAAAAATCTTTTGATCCCCACCTACTGTCCTGTGTTGTGTTTAGGCTACACGTTACAGAAAATTTACATTAGGAATACTTTGGAGGAGTTTTTAAAATAAAAATGTTATTGTGATATTAGTGGTATCCTTCAGCCTGCTGAGGTTCTAGGATTAGTTGGTGCAAGTCAGCATTTTACATCTACCGAAAAGAAAGTCAATGTAAAAATGGCATGACTACTGGATTTCACTCACATCAAGCTAATCATTGCGTGTCTCTCTAGGGAAAGTTGGGAACCCATTTACCGTTCCCTACTCTACAACTAAGTTTGCCTTGGATGGGTTTTTCAGCTCCTTGAGGCAGATGCTGATTATTGAGAATGCCAATGTTTCCATCACGCTCTGTGTCCTGGGCTACATCAATACTGGTAAGGCAGGCACTATTATGTAGACCTAGCTGGGCAGGATCTCTCCATGCATGCACTTGCACACTTCCTCTCTACAGTTAGCCACAAAACATCACTTCTATGCAAAAAATGGAAAACAATTAGCGCTCGAATTTGTCAACATTTTCAATCAATGAATAGTTTTGCTTTTGTTTTGTTTTTAATGAAATGCTGCTTTTCTCTTTCTTTTCTTGAACTAAAACAGCCTCCTTCTTTGAAAAATAGTCACTGCTCTCCGGGCATTTTTACAAAACTTAACCCTTCCTGAAGATTTGTTGCTTGATCTTTGAGATGAAAGGACTACTAGCATTTCACTCAATTTACCTGCTGCATTCCTTGCAAATGCTTACTCTCTCTCAAAATTACACTGCTGATATAATAATCACAAAATTAGCTCACTGTGGTCTCTTTCATGACTTCATGCTCAATTACTGCATTTTACAACAGCCAGTACAGATTGAACTTACATTAACAAACATTTTCTTAAAAGTCTCATTTTTTAAATGGACTTAAATACTTAGGGAGACTGAAACTTGGGCTACTGCAGTGCTTTAAAACACTTTTGAAAATGGGAAAAGGATGTCTAAATGCCTTTAAAATATGACTCCTACTTCCACAAAAAGGGAACTGGGTCCCTGAATACCTTTAATAATTTACCTGTGGAGTTTTTGTTTGTTTAATTTACCCGATGCTTTGGTCCAAGTAACTAAATAATACAACTGCCTACTCAAAAAGCATCCCTCCCTTTTTAATATAAACTTCAAGTTTTTTCCTCTTCTTCCTCCTTCTCCTCCTTCTTCAGCGCCTCTAGTAAGGCACTATTTTCCACAATAAGATGCAATTTCAAACACCTCTGAAATCATAGAGCATTAGATTCCACAGGCAATGCATATGTCTGATAACATTTTTCTTTCTTCTATCCTCCACTGCAGACTCAGCTATGAAAGCAGTGTCCCATGTGATACGTGGCAAACCTGCACCAAAAGAAGAGTGTGCTCTGGAGATTATCAAGAGTGGAGCGCTGCGTCAGCGGGAACTGCACTATCCCTACATCTCTGTGACAATTCCCCTCTTATTAAGAGATTGGGCCCCGGACTTCCTGGATTCTCTCACAAGAAATAATATGAACATAGAAAAGGTCAAAAGAACATAGCTGGTAATATGTATTGGGGCCTAATTAGGAAACGACTAATAGCATGAACACAGAGGTAAATACAGTTATTTTCTGGTCAGTGAAAAGAGCATTTCTGGTGGGATTTTCAAAAGTGCCTCAGTGACTTTGACAAAGCAGGTTCCTAGCACAGATCCAGCTCTAAGCATGCCGGCACGCACCCTCGTAGACCCCAGCATCATCCCCATGCAACTGCACCCGCAAACAGACATATTCACGTGGCTGGGCAGTCAGCCCCTGCATAGGCTTAACACGTGCCCACAAGCTCACAGGCTGCTGCGTAGTCATGTCCTTAGAAATTGGAAATGCCTCTGACTTGCAAAGTGACTTAGGCACCTACACCACTGAGACAATGCTGACTACCCTTAACTTTTCCTCCCACCCGCCTCCATTTCCTCTCTGGAGATGAGGCTTGCTTAAAGCAGCAAAATCATTTCCCTGGCTGAGAGGGCACAACTAACAGTGGATGGGTTTGGATCTGCTCTTGGAAGAAGGAGGTGGCCCTCACCCGCTCCGAACCATTGCAGCCCCCAGCATGCCTCCTGCTCTTCCAAGAGCCCTCATGACTTTTAGTACTAAATCTCTAGGCTCCTCATCACACAGAGTCCCAAGAAGAGCCACTAAGTAAGACATCTATTTTCAACATGTTAGGAAAACCTAAGATGAACTCCCTTTAACATAGGGCCTGGTTCTCCTTTTCCTATGTTCCAGCGAGAGGAGCACCAGGCCCCATAGCATCCTTTCCTACTGAACTGATACTATTATTACTACTCGCTTCCACCGAGGCAATGCATAGGTGCCCTGAACAGGGACTGGGCTGTATCTTGCTTGTCTTTATATACTTACCCAAAGTGACCTCTTGCAAGAGCTAATAGCATTGCTTAATGCAGGTAATAGCATTTGGATGGACTGGGATCAGTTCTGAGTTATACAACCACCCAAAACTCTCTGCAAGCCAAACATTGAGTTCCCAGTGATTTCAATGGGAGCTGAGGACATCTAAAATTTTAGGGATCACATTATCCATCACTGAAGTTAAGAGGGAGTCCTCAAACTCAACAATGCTAAATATCTAAAAAGCATCATTAACTATGATATTGGATCACATGTCATGTGCATGTTCTTTTTGTCTCTGCTGATTACATTTTATAACATCTCAGTTGAAGTTTAAAAAAAATAAAATAAAAAAGGAGAAATTGAGACACAGTGTAAATTAAAGCTAAGCTGGCATAATAAAGTATTTTCCCAGGACACATGAAGAACTGGAGGGGAGTCTACCTGAAATACAGAAATCTGAAAGAGACTTGTTTATTCTTTTCGGGCCCAATTCAGGTTAGTTAGGTCCTTTCCATTGAATTCAAGGGGCTTTGCATCAGGACCTTTTTGAAGGCATTCTTTCACTGATGGCCAAATGGTTAATCACACAAATGTACCCTAAAAGTGCTGCATCTTTGCCATGTTCTAGCACAGCATACACACGCACGTGTACACTGGATTAGTGTACAAACACCTCCCTCTTCCCAAGGCAGCTGTTTCATCGGCAGATAAAATGGAAGCAATGTAACACACAGCTGAGCCATGTCACCCGAGCTAAGCTTCTCCTAGGGATTTCTTCCAGGGTTGCTCCATTCACACCAACTGCTCTTATACCCTGGGTGGAATTACCTAACCCCAAACCCCTTGGAATTAGCAGGGATCAGCAAGCATAATAAAAGACCTGCTGTGCTGTGGGCATAGCTTCCTGGATCCATGCACCACTTCCATGTGCAGCAAGGGATAACAGTGGCTGCTGATAGCAAAAGTCCAGACTTCTTACTTCTCAAGATAACCAAACCACCATACTGAACTGGGCTTCAAGTTGCCTGCTAGCTTTTTGTACCATGTCACAAACTAACAAGACAGGAACCAGGGTTAAGCATTGTGGTTTAGCACATTTCCTGTTTTATTAAAAAAGAAAAAATGGCAGCACAATGCAGTCGCTGGAATGAAGATGTCAGTTAATGCCCCATACCCCAATATCCAGCCTTCCCTTCCTGCCTTGAAGCTTAACAGAGGTTGGGGAGAAGATCAGTGATTTGGTGCGTCTACCTCTGGGCTTCCATCGCAAGCCAGGTAAGACCTTCACTTCTACGGCTCTTTGTGGATGAACAGCAACAAGCCCTGACACAGGAGAAGTGGGTAAGGTATGTCTGTCTCAGCCCACATTATTGGTGTGGGAAGTTGTAACTTAACAGCAAGTTGGGGTTTCCTTTTATTCATTTCCCTTGGAGGGAGGAGTGGCACAGCATGCAAAGGGGAGATAAAGGGCATGCTGGTTAACAAGGGATGGTTGACTTGGGGTGGTAGCGGAAGAAAACAAAACCGGTAGCGTGTCAGAGAGGCCTCAGCAGCTTGCTCGGTGAGTAATGGACCGCACCTTTCTTTTTGCTCCTTTCTTGCCCTAAAAGGGATCTGTGTTAAATCCAAGAGAAATACAAAAAAAGTCTCAGGATGCATAGTTGGGAGGTTCTGCAAAGTGTATGTCTGGAGCAGGCAGGAAGGCAACGGCGCTGTTTGTAATGGGCGGCTTCCCAGCGCATAAGGCTCGCACAGGATGTGCAGGGCTCAGCGCCCTAATTCTGGCCTTGGATGAGACACTTTTTAACTGTGGGAAGATACCAGCAGAGAAAGAGATTTCTGCCCTGGGCTGACAAACAAGGGAGCAGGGACATTTCTATACGTTTTGTCCCAAGATGTGTTGTTCACAGCCAGGTCCAGTTGTTGCTTTCAGGTTTTCAGGATGTTTACGTCCAGGGTGTTAGCACAGGCCTCATCTGTCTGTCTACTTCAGAGCCTGTGCAGCTGTTCACCAGACCCAGCACCAGCCTGCTGTGCTGTGAAAGTGTCTGTGCATGTGTGTACACAAGTGAGCATGAGAGAGGGGGTCCAAAGCAGGATGACATTGAGGCAGAAGCAAGAAAGCTGTATAGAAATTATTATTTTTTTTTGCATTTAATAACTTCTCGGAATGAAAGTTCACCCCAATAATGTTTCAGAGGCCCTGGTGGAGAGGATTGGAAAATGAGATTAGAATTGGGGATATTACAGGAACATCAGAAGCTCTAAGGGTAAACCGCATCTCTGAACAAATGTGAGCACAGAACAAACATATAGTGCAACCTAATCATCCAGAAGGTGATTTTTGTCTTTCAGTGTAATCATTTGAGTCTTTATTTTCTTGGTTGGATGGATGAGGTTGTGAAGCAACATATTGATTGTTTATACGCATGCATTTTGCCTACTTACAAACAAGAAAAGGATATCATCTTACTGGACTGGAGTCCCTTTCAATTTAAAAGGAAATTAGTTAGTACAACATGGCAGCATAAGAAATGTATGCTTCTATTTTGGTTCTGTTATAATTATGTAGCTTTCTGGAGGGCAAGTTTTACTATAAAAATCCTCAACCCACCTTACAAACATTAGTTGCCTTAAGTTTTTCCATCAGAGTCAGCAATTTCTCAACCACTGAAGACAAAAGAATATAGAATGAAATTTCTTCTTGTGTCCATTTTTCTTTGGGCTCCTAAAATCAATTTTTCTTTGTCTCACTTTAATTGAAGCCCCCCTCTTTTCCCAAAATGTAGCTCTCAGGTACAGTGCTGATGAGAGTTATACACATGGTGGTGGGGAAAGAGAGAGATAAAAACAGGAGCCTGAAAGGGCTTGCTGAGGAATTTGATTTTCTGTACCCGTCCCCTTCTGTCTGCCTTTCATCTCTTGAGGGTTTTTCTGAGCGCAAGTGTGAAGCAAGTGGCCAAGCTGAAGATAACATTTAGAGAATATTATGAGCATTTGCTATGAAAACAAGGTAATATATGCTAATGAGAGTCTGGACTATGTTTGCTATGAATGGACTTTACTAACAGACTGTGAGCCACCTGTTCCAGTGGTGTAAGCCTGGCCACAAAGACTTCATGCGTGACACAGAAGTACCATTTTACATACTTGTCACATGAATGTACATTGCCATGTATGGTCCACAGCCTTACAATCCAATTTGAAACTGAAACCTAGAACCAGGCAATTCTTCATACTCCAACCAGAAGCTTCCCTCTTATTTTGAAACAGGTGTAGGCGAAGTGGTGAATCCAGATCACAGCTGCACTGGTGTAAGTCAGGAGGAGAGCAATTCAGATCAGTGTTACTCCCAGTCGACTCAGGGGCACGTTCTGTTCTGAGGTAAGATGTGGGATACTTATTATAACTGAATGCCAGGGCTTGGACAATATGATACTAAACAGTTTGTAAATCTGGGATGGTCCAGAGTCTCCAACCTTGCCTACGCCCTGCCCTTATTGACCTCAATGGTACAACTAGGCCAATGCTACATGGCTTGGAGAATCCCACCCTCCTGGGTCATGGGAGCACCAAAGGCTTGCGGTTACTCTGCTGGTTCTGAGCCCTTTTGAAAGTACTAGAGGCGGGGACCTGTTGCTCTTCCCCCTTGCACCAGTGAGAATCCAGACTAACTCTGCTAGATGAATAACAGGAGAACCAGCTTCTCAGTTGGATCCTCTTATCTGATGGAAAGCCACCCAGCTATTCTAGCCCCAGGGCTGCCGCACGGATCTTAAGAGATCAGAGAAGCCAGAATAAAAATTGTTCCAGCGCAGCCATTGAAAATAAAGAAGGCAAAAGTTATGCTTGGACTGGCAAGCAGCACACACCGTGAAGCGCCTAGGCAGGCAGACACTCCCACTCCCCCAAGCACCTATCCAACCCCAAGCGGCTGGGTAGAAGCGTAGCAAGCTCAAGCAGCATCCGTGGAACGTGCTCAAGGATTATCCAGCCGGATCAAGGAACAGGGTATCCCTTAACTGGCAATGAAAGTTTGGATGAAGTAGAGTAATGTTAGTTTTGAGGCTTTTGTCAGTATGAGCATTGCGTTCCATTTTCTCTCTCCCCGAGGAAGAGACAAAGACCCAGATACCCTCAATGTGGCCACAATCCAGGAAAACAAGAACAATGAAGCTTGCAGTTGGGTAGAGAGGGAAGGGGCTATAGCTCACCCTGCCCACCAGCACCCTACCCTGTCGGGAGGTAATGCTTAAACAAAGGAGCTCATTCTTAGTACAGACCTCTGGCACGACTTGCCTGCTTTGCTTAAGCCAACGGAAGTGGAAGCAAAAATGACTCCCTGGACCGCGCAGTGCCAGACTCCTCTTGCTTCCACTCCTGCATCCACCAGTCTCTCGCTGGAGCAATGTTATTTACAGCAGTAGGGGACTGGATGCAGTGTTACTAGCTGGGCGAATTCAGGACACAGTTACAGCTAGCCAAGCCTTGGTGGCAGAAAAGGAAGGAGAACGTGTGAAGCACAAAGTGTAATGTAGCCTTTAAGTCAAGCTACTGCAAAAGGCGAGCTGTGGGACAGAGGGGCGAATAGAAAGGAGCAGAGTCATGTTGGAGGTGAGCATCATCTTCAGAGGCTATGAGTTCCCTAAGGTGATGGCATGGAAGCAAACAGGGATTTTAAAATGAGATTCTGTACATATCCATGCAGTGCAGTAACACTTTCTTCCTTCCCCAGGCACCTCTGTGCTTGCACAAGGCAAGCAGGATTTACAAATGCATGCAGCTGCATGAAACTGCTTAGTAGCAAAACTTCCCACACCTGTAGTGGGTCCTATACAAAAGGCTGGAAAAACACAGGCATGCAGGAACAAACTACAAACCTATTACTACAGAAGTATGAGAAATCATTGTTGTTCCTTGTCTATTTATTTAAATAGGATAAGGGATTATAACTAGAAACAGGAGGGTAAGACCGAGCAAAGAAGAAGAATAGCAGAAAAGATTTGATAACGGCAAGATTTAATAGATTGCAGAATAAGTCTCGTCACTTAAGACATGAGTGAAACTGAAGTTGATTTTCCAGTTCAAGGAGTACCCCATATTAGCACATGCATGTGCATTTAGGAACAGAGACACAACGGTTATTTTCTGTCAGCACATCTGTATTTCATGACACAGCCTTATTCCATGGATGCGGCGGGTATCACTCTAGAACTGTGGCTATGTCTTAGACCTGGTGTCCATCATCTGTAAAAGTCTCATATGCACTAGTTTATTTTGTAAAGTGTCCAGAAAGACACTTACTTGTGGTGTCTTTCTCTTTCTTACTTTCATTAGGGA